GGCCGATCAATACGAAATCATCGTCATCCAGAACCCGAATCTCCTCATCCCCAACGAAACTCTCCCTCCCGAGCTCCTCCACGATCTTCACAAACTCCACCCTCTTCTCCATGGCACGTGGCACGTACGGCAGCCGAAAAACAGGCCTCACGACCCCAAGTTGGGCCAATGCCGTGTTCACTCCGATCGGGTTCGGCTCCTCAAAAAGCCACTTCACAAGAGGCAAAACCCTCGCATTCAACCCCGGATTCTTGCCCCCAAACATCATCTCCCTCATCAAACCTGGGACCAAATTGCTCGCAACTGAAATTACCCCTCTACCCCTATGGTCCCGCCTCGAGTCGTGACACTCATCGTCATTACCACTCCACACCACAAGCCCGTTACTCACGTGCTCCCCAACCCGAGCATGGCCCACGCACTCCTTCACACCCGCTAGATTCGGGTTTTGGGCCAAGGCCCAAATAACACCCAGGGGAATATCTTGGCCCGTTCGGGAGGGGACGTTGTACACAATAGTCGGGCCCATTTGGAGCACGCTTTCAAAGTGGAAGACGAGGCCTTCGAGCGAGGTCTTCCCGTATACGGGTTGATGTGTAAGGCCGCGTGCATGCCGACCGCAAAACCTTGCTCGGTTGCGTGGATCGCCTCGCGAGTCGAGTTGCTTCCCGTGTTGTCGATGACTTTGACCGAGCTACCGAAGCAGTTGACTGTGTGGCCGATGAGCATGATGTGCTCGTCCCAAGACATGAGCTGGCCCTCGCCTGTGGTCCCGCCGACGATTATCCCCTCGACTCCACCATCAATTTGCATGTTTACGAGCGTGTCGTAAGCCTCGAGGTCGAATCGGCCGTCGGGAAGGTACGGGGTCTTGATGGCCGATATCAATCGTAGGGCTTTTATTTCGTCCACGTTTGTTCTGCCGAAAATGTAATTAAATTATGATTACGGAAGATTTGAATCGGAAACGAACGAGTTACAAGAACATTATGACTATGTTTAGCTAATAAGCTTCCTGTATTCGAATATGTTTCAATTGATATGACGAGCTTTTCTAAAAAGCTCGAGCTTATCTCATGAACTTTCTTTGGTAGCTTTTCAAATGAACTCATTAAAATTTATTTAACTAATTTTACAAAACACTTTTATCATATAAGCTAGCTTTTTCAGCTATAAATCATAAGCTATAACTATAAGCTCGAAAATCACTTATAAGCTATCGGCTAGTTTTACCAAACATAGGCTATGTGCTTTGAAAAGTTACTTTACTAAAAACAGACGAGGAACATATGGCAGTGCAACTTCGAAGTCGAGCAACAATGAAACAAAACCAAATGCAGAAGGTAGAGGAATTGGGATTGTGTCTATGAAGAAAGTGCACCATGCATGTATACATTACCATCATTGACACAAAGCAGAGAGCAAGTAGGAATCACATCTGAGTTAAATTTGAAACGCAAAAATTGATTCAGAGAATAATAATCCTGTAGTACACTACACATATGGTGATGCAAATATATCCTTCACCAACTTACGAATCTTTTTTTCGGACACTATAAACACGAAAAGTAAACTTGCTACATGTCTAAATTCTAATCAAACCATATTGATGATCAAAGAAACTCACTGGAAAAACTTAGCTTGCTCGGGATAAAAACAAAATCAACTATTTACCTATTTTTAACTTCATAACTACGCATCGGAATATGGAAATTGGGAATCACAGCTGCTCTAGGTGGCCTCCATTTTCGCACTTTAACTGCATCACACGCAGTTACAAAAAACATCAGTACTAAGCATAAAAAATGTCTATATACAGATGAAAAAAGAGAACATTAGTAACATAGCAAGGCACTTATAATGGCAGTCATATTGCGACTTCATCGGAAAAATCGCCAAAAAAAGCAGCACATACAAGTATCTCAAAAAGACGTCATATGAACTCATTCAAGAATCATTACAATATCAAAAATGCATAAAGCTCAGCCATTGTGCACCATCAAAGAACAACAAGCTATCAAGCATACAGTACGTTTGCCTAAAGAACACAGACCCATATCATGTAAACCAACAATTAACTGTATAACAATGCAAATTTAGCTCGATAAATCTCAGTGTGAGCAATGTGATAAAATGAGCACAAAAATAAAGATTTATTCGGAATGTGAGGAGAAATTCTCAATTTCAGAAAATCAATCGGCTAAAAAAAATAAAAAAATTACCCCGATGCGTAGTTTTGACAGAAAAACAACCAATCGCCGACGACATTGCAGCTGACTCGAGAAAATTGTACACAGATAACAACGAAAAGAAATGAAAAAGGCGTAAAACTGAGTTAACTCGGGTGAATCCTCCGGCAATGAGTGGAGCTCCAAAAACCGCGTGTCAGCTGCATCAGTCGTTCTCCGACAACTGAAGACGGGGTTTTGGCCGGTGGCGCGACGGACGAAAGGAGAGAAACAGGAATGGAGCTAAAACCTCAAGCGGTTGGCCATGGCGGCGGACGAGGAAACACAAATTTGGTTTTCTTCTGATGTTAGAAACCACATTTTGGTTTCCTTAAACTGATCTTTATTTTGTCAGTGACTGAGTAGTGATAAAATGATCAATTGGATTAGATCAAATAATTATTGAATAAATAAAATAAAACTTTTAAAATTACCAAATAATATTAATAAATAATAATAATAATAATAATTAATAATAATAATAATAATAATAATAATAATAATTAAAATTGACGGCGGCGATTCCTTCCAGACGGCGATTCCTTCCAGACGGCGGCGATTTCCCGACGGCGGCGATTTTCAGTCCACTAAAGAGGGTTCCAGACGGCGGCGATTTCCAGACGGTGATTTCCAGACCATTAATTATAGTTTCCGACGGCGATTTCCAGACGGCGTTTTCAGACCACCAAAGACGGGCGATTTCCGACGTGCGATTTCCTCTCCAGAAGGGCGATTTC